TAGACAGTTCGGTATAAAACAGATGTGAGACTAGTAAGGAAAAGGTATGGTCTGGAGGAAACTAACTTGGCATTGACCAATGAGGCCTCTGTGACCCTATCCGATATCGTAAAACATCGAGATACTCCAGAAGTCTAGAACAAAGCACTTGCCTTCTGCCATCTGCAGCTAATAAGGAATTGTGTGCTTATTCTGGAAAGGATAAATCTTGCCACGCTAATCTGTGCATCTGTATGTTTCAGGCTTGATTGGTAAAACATGCCGAATGTGGGACTGTGAATATGACTCAGAATTTTGAACAGCTATAGAAATACTACTGTACATCTCTTCATAGGCCCTAAGAGACAAGTGCATATTCAGCCTGTTATCCATCCGAGTGTTGGCTGCCATTTTGTTTCCAGACTCAATTCAATATGCTGGATTTAACCTCATACGGCCTGAGATGCTTCTTCCTTTTTTTAAAAAAAAAGGTTTTTATTCATTCTCAATAAGGGTAAGGATTGAGATGTGGGTACAAGGGAATAAGGAAGGAATAAGGGTGGGGAAAAGGTAAAATTCCAGAGAGCGAAAGAGTATTCTTACTTCCGCTTAGTTAATTACGTTAAAAAAGGAAATGATATAGGTAAACAATCTAACAATTTTTCCAGACTATCTATCTTTACAACTCTCTCCATTCCTTTGGACCTTCTCTTACTTCTTTTATCTATACTTTCCAATCCATATTTCAGATCCAGTTGTACAACTGTTCCCATTTTTTTTTAGTCCTTTTGGAGATGATATTTCATTTAATGCTTCTGTTAGTATATCCATCTCCGCCACTTCCGGTATCTTTTCTATCAGTTCCTCCAGAGACTTCTTTCTTCTAATATTTTCCATATAGTATCCTTGCTGCCGTCAGAGACGGCACCTCTTTTCTTCCAATATTTTCCATATAGTATCCTTGCTGCCGTAATGTATTATCAAACATCTCATTTCTTTATCTACAGTTTCAGTCATTTGACATGCTTCTTCCTCATGTTGACCATCACATGCTTAAGAAGTCCAAGGAATGAGATCCACTCAGGAGATCTTTCTGTCCACACCCTCCTTCCAGCACATTTTGGCAATGACAGTTAGAATGTAGATGTTTACAGCAACCAGACTATATATGTGGAACCTTTTTCTCTTAAGGAGTGAGAAAAGCTACCTGTTTGACAGTTTTTCAGAATGGATGCAAAGCACACTGTTAATAAGGTGTTTGGTAGACCATGTGATATTCTGTATTGCCTCGTCCAGCTGCCTCTATGTTGTTGAGTTATACTGATATAACATAACTTCTCTAAAATGTGTTTTACTGCAAACAGCTTTCAATTTTTTTGAAAAATGCTATCACATACTGTAGTAATGTTTTCCAAAAAACACAGTAATACCGTTTTGTGTTGTGAATTTTTTCAGCCCCCCCGATATATTTTGTTGTATCTGATTGTTATTAAAATACTTTCACATATTTTTTGCAAATTTATTTTATTTATTTGATGCCTTGCAAGGGGCTTAATTTTCCAACATTTTGACCTTTATCTTTAAGCAAGGCTGCTCTGTTTTAAGAAAATGTATATGTAAAGAATATACTTTTTCCTGCATGCTTCCTCCATTTGTTGAGAATGTGGTGTAACTTTATTCTATGCTTTTGTTGTTAAGTTATCTTTACTATGTGCATATGTACACAAATGAATCAGAAACATTCTTACGCTGTGTTGTGAAATATGTATCTTCTTTGTGCTTCCAGCTGAGATCTGCATACCTATCTCCCTAGCACATGATTTTTTCCTTAACAAACTGGCTAATTTTAAATTAAATATACCTGATATATATAATATGGAATCAATCAAGTAATTAATACCTATGGGTGAACTGCGGAAGTTAAACTAGAAACAAAACTACATAAATAATTTCAAACACTAATGGTGAAACATGAACCCTATGACACCCAAATCCATACCCACAGAACTATAATTTCAAAGTTCATTGAGAAAGTCACGGAAACTTCAAATCTTTAAACTGAAAGCACTGAAGTCATCTGCAATATTAATAGAAAAATGACATATCACAGAGAAATGTAAAGAAAGGTCACTTAACTTAAAAAGAGCCAATGTGGACAATGGTTCTGACCAAGCTCTGTAACTCAAGGGAATACTATGGTCTATTCCTACCCAACACTGTTAATCATTGTTTGGCAGCCAGATGACCATTCCACCATGTGAGAAATTGAGGGAAAACCTCACTTGGCAGACAGACACAGATTCACTGCAAAGGATAATATATGGTACCAGAAAAAAATACGCACTGTATGTAGAGCAAAGACAAATAGTAACTCTTACTGTGTTTTTATTTAATCCAACTATGTAGGTAAAGTATTTTGGTTATCACTGTAAAACAGTCATCCTGTTGGAAGTAGGGATGTACAGTAATTTGGTCCTGAAATGAGACTGGTCCTTAACAGTGTTAAGGAACAGTTTGTGAATATCTGCTTTGATTTTAAAATAGCATCAGCAAACTCTTCACTTATCAACATTATTATAAGAAATGATTACTTTTCTAAAACCGCTACAATAAATGCATGAGGGGACTCTCTAATCTTTAGAGAACAGTGTCTGAAACGCATCTTCTTGTATTTGGAAAGTTCTTGTATTTGGAACATCTCTAAAGGAGAAGTGAACTTGCCATGATACAAGTCAAGTTTATGCAAAGAAACCAGTGAAAGCCTATCTAATAAATACTACTTCTTTATCATTTGAAGTGAGAGCATGCCGTCTCATTAAATATAATACAAATTCTACCTCTCTAGAAGTGGCAAGCCTAACATAACAAAGGTGCATACAGCAGAAGGATTCACAGATCCCCATTCTCAACTTGACTTAGCATGCCATGCTTAACCTCTTTCTGCCGGCAATACAGTAAAGACCTGAGTTCAGATAAAACACTTCTTAGGAAGAGAGCTACAGTTCATTAGTAAGGATCTCCTTAGTTCAGCCTTTATGCTCTGAAGATATTTTCCACTTGGTTCTGGAAGCCAAGCATTGCACATGGCTGAGGAATACAAAAGACAAAAGCATTCACAGCACCAGATATGTGCAAATGCATCACTACAACATGCAGTAACAACGTCCATTTCACATCTGGAAAGGGCACAATGTTCCACATTTAATAGTCCTCACACTATCATTAAATGCCATCATATTCGAATTCTAAAATAATTTTTAAAAATCCTCCTTTGAGAAATTGAAAAAGTAATGAGCAGTCTTAAATCATCTCTTAAATCTACTGAATGGCTACTAAATATGGCTGAATTATGTTAAAACCACACACAAACAGTTGAAACACATTATGAAAACCACAAAAATTGTATTTACTTTGCACCAAAATGTTATGTGTCTCAGACATCTATATGAAATAAACATTCCCTCTCCATGGAGGTTAAACTTTTTACACTGAAATAGTTTCTTCTGGCCAGTATGTGAGGAATGTGATGGGCATAAATATTAATACTTCATATACTATGGTTATACTACCCAAACAAGTTCTCACTTTATATCAGACTGAAATCCAAATAGATTAAGATACCTACAGATCAATATTCTTTAAAATCTAATCAGCAATTATTTCCACACAGGTGGAATAAATCCAAAACGTAGGGGAAATGTTTTTCTTCTCACAGAGAACTGTTGTTCAAACACTTTGCATCCCACTTAGATTTATCAGATGCCACACTATTAATCTGGGTACTTTACTCTGAAGCCTTCGGTCCTCCCAAAACCACTAATATCCATACTGCATCTCTCTTGATCTCTTCCTCTTGGCTTCAACAAAGTTTCTCTGAAGCTGCCAACAGCTTGGGGTCCGACTTTCTGAGTTTTAAGCATTTACCACCCCAAATAACAGCTTAAACTGCGTTATCCTTCAGAACCTAAAATACTGCAGGGGTTATAACTTTCCCAAGCAAACCACCTATTATCATACCACAGGCTCCTGTCATGCAAATACAAACACAGAGAAATAAAATTCACTTGGCAACCTAAGTCCTTACAGAGATTGTTTTGAAGCCATAAAACATTCCTTGGGATTTCTAAGTTTCATGAACTCCCAATTGTGACGACAGAGCTGAACGTACAATCTTATACCCACTTGCATGGGAGTAAGTGTCACTGACTGTAAAGCGCCTTTTTTTTTCCTGATTAAATACCTCCAGGCTTGCGCTTACCACCATGCAGTAACAACGTCCAGCACTGGAAGTTACTTATACAATTTTAATATTATCGTAGCCTGCAATCTTTTATACAGTTCCCTGGAAGTAAGGGCCACAGAACAAATCACGTTTATTTCGAAACACGCGCGCACTGTTAAAATTCTGTAAAATCGCAACTGCGTGCAAAACCCGCGGGTGACTCCAAAGTTATTTATTTATTTTGCGACCACCTTCCCCGAAGACAGCTCTAAATTTAAGCCTCCCTGGACTTTTTGTACAAGTTCTCCACATCTTAACTCATCGGAAAAGAATGCGCTCGATATGTTATCTATTAATCGGAACGCCTGGAATATTTTTTAAAGGAGAACATTTCCTTTTTAATAAGGTGGTGACCACGAGAGAGAGATAAAATGGTGGGTGGGGGGAAAGAGGAGCACCCAGGTTGAGGGAAGGCATGCCCGTGACCTCGAGAAAGCAAAATACACCCGTGTATGGCTTTTGTTTGGCTTCTGCTGTTTAAAGCGCTCCCTCTCCTCTCCCCCTCCCCGTCCCAGCTCCTAACTTGGAGAAAGGCAAACTCCCGGTCCACTCAAGCGACGCGGTTTGGCAGCCCCCACGGACGCGCCTTTCGTTTTCCCTCCGCGTTGCGCAAGCTCGCCCGCCCCAGGAGCGGCCGCCGCCAAGCGCGAAGGCAGCTGAGGGGAAGGGAAAGGGAGGGAAGGCGGGAGAGCAAGCGGGCGAAAGCGCCGCCGCCGCCGCCCCTCAGGCAGGTAGGTACCTCTTCCTCCGGCAGGTTAGGCTCGGGCGGGCTGGGCTCGGGCTCGCTCTTCGTGCTGTTCATGGTCTCCGTCGCCTCGCCTCTCTTCTCCTCTCCGTGGCGGGCGTCGGGGCTGAGGAGGGGGTGGCGGCGGCGGGCTTGCGCCCCGGAGGCGCACGGGCGGCCGGGCGAGGCGAGGGAGGGCGAAGAGCGGGGCTTGCGCCCTGGCCGCCAGCAGCCGCTTGCAGCCGCAGCATGCAGGGGCTTCTCTCCCCAAGTGGCGGAGCGAGACCCCCCAAGCCGGCCGCGGAGGGGCGGAGAGTGAGCAGCGGCGGCGGCGGCGGCGGCTTCGTCGTCTTTGCCTGGGAAGGAGGTGCGGGGCGACGGGGAGGGGAAGAGAGAGAAGAGAGCCCGGAGCCTTGCCTGCCTGCGCGCTTTGCGCTGGTTGGCGGGGAAGGTGACTCCCTTCGCCTGGCGCCCACTCCCTCCGACGGCGTGGGAGGGAGCGCTCCAGAGGGGGAAAGACCGTCGTGAGGGAGAGGAAAGGACGCCCCTCGGAAAGCCACTGGCCCGGGCACGCCAGTAGAGGCGGGACAGAAAGGGGACATCGAGGCTCTGGAAGGAAGGAGGAGCTTCCGGGGGGGGGGGGAAAAAGGACTCTGGAAGCCTCATACACGAGGGCTTCCCGCCTGTCTTGGGGTCCCGCCGTCCACTCTTAGGTTTTCCTGTTCTGACAGAGGTTGTATTCCTTCAGCTCAGAGATGAGGCGGCTATGGCCCCTCCAGGTGTTGCTGAACCACAACGACCATCATCCCTCACTAGAAGTCAGGGTTGATGGGAAGCAGAGCCAGACAGCAACTGGGGGGGCACATGTCTCCCCCCCCCAGCCCTGTTTTAGACAAAAAGAAACCCAGTGGATAGGGAGATGGACTAGGATTCAGGAAACCTGGGACTGAACCCCTGCTCAGATATGGAAAATCATGGTGGTGAGGACTGGCAGAAACTACTTCTTAAATATCTCGCTTAGGTTGAAAGTCCTGTTAGAGTTGTTTAAAGTTTGTTCTGACTTTGACCATACAGAACAACAGACAAAAATACCTGGTTGGAGAGAGAGTTCAGTGAGTTGGAGCACCAGGGGTCTGGAGGTCAACCCCTCACTTCTCTTACAGGAGAAAAGCCAGCTTGTGTAGCCTTGGGCACATGTTACAGAACACACATAGAAGATGTAGACTTTTTCTAAGTACTGTACATAGTCATCTATGTACCCAGGAAAGCCTGGGATGGCTTGCTGAAAGTCACAATCAACTTGACAACACATAATTAATTCTTGATTAAACAAACTGGCTCAGCTGTAAAAGATCTGCAAATGCACAAAAATGTGCAAGATTTCAAATTTTCTAGAGCTTCTTGTTACACTCGGTAATAAACCAAACAGCATCTTACTGGTTAATAAGTCTGTTTTTGCATAAGTGTTCAGGAACTCCCACTCACTTATTCAGATGCATGTAGAAAATGGGTTGGTGTCTGCAAAAGTTTATACCAAACAACAAGGGTTTGTCTAATTCCTTATTACTCCTGGGCAGTCATTAGACATAGGCAACTTAACTCTGCCAAGAGCCTTCACCGCCAGGCTGATCTGTCACAGCTTTAGCCACCATTCGTAATGGCACTCCTTGCACAAAATCCAGAGGTAGGCAATAGTTTTAGTAAGATCGGCTGTAAATGCACAGTAAAATGCAATCTTTCAAGTTTTTTAGAACTCTACATCAGAGTTTCTTTTTTGAAATTCCCTGTACAAAAGGCAGTGTACCTCTAATATCAGGTGCTGGCCTAGTGAGGATATACTGTACAACAGAAACTGGTTATCTCTGTGGGGCAATGTTTGTGAGCTTCGAAGAGGCAACTCCCTGACTGCTGTTCAAAGCAAAGAGCTGAAGGAGATGGACAGTTGATGGGATCCAGTCTTGCCGAGTTTTATGTTCTTAGGGCAACTCCATGCTGGGGAAGATTACAGCTCCAGAATTTCTGCCTCCTCTGGTCAGGACAGAGAGCCTTTGGGGAGCAGCAGTGCTTTTTAAACCAAATTAGTTTAGCTTTTGATACAATTCTTTTCCCCATGGTAAATAAATTTCGTTAGCAGTGGTTGCTATCTCTAACTCTGTCAATCTAATCATTAGACTGCAGTCAATCCCTGGTTAGTCTTTAGTTTAGTCTATAGAATTATCTCTAAGTAGCCTGTATAGTTAAAACAAAGCTCTGTGGCACTTTTAAGACTAACATATTTTATCCGACATAAACTTTTCTAAACTGCAGCTCTCTTCTTCAGATGCAAGATGTATTTCAGGCGCAAGATACACTTGACTTCTTGCATCTGAAGAAGTAGGCTGCAGTCCATGAAAGCTTATTCTGAATAAAACATGTTAATTTTAAAGGTGTTGTGGGAGTCGTCATTGGCTTTGCTGCAGCGGACCAAACCAGCTACCACTCTGATGCATCAGTTTTTTGTGCCCTTATGGTATACTAGTTTTTTGATGGTAAATTACACATAACTTGCAAAAAGTGTAACTAAAGTCTTGAGACCCAGTTGTAAAAAAATCAGGTAAGACCCCCCACCCCATATATTCAGGGGATCCATTCCACAATCTACCATGAATGCCTGAAACCTCGGATAGTAATGAATTCTATGTACTGTACAACATACAAGGAGGCAGAACAAAGGCCACAAGGCCTGTCCCCTCATACAATGTATATGGCACTGCAGTAAACTCCAGAAAACTGACATCACAGATACCCATCACACAAATGCAGGGCTCCTACTCTGCTCTGTAATCAGAAGATTAAGACTCAGAAGGGCAGCAATGAAGAAACTAGAAGAGATCATCAAGGATATGTCACTGGAGACAAAGAGCATTCTTGTATTTCCAATCACTATGCACGGGTGTGAAAGCTGGATCATTCATGGCGTTGCCATTAGTCGAGTGAAACTTGACAGCACAAAACAACAACAACAGCTGTACTCTTGGGGGAAGAGGGTATTTTTGCAGCAGAAAGTGGGATCCTTGATCTTTTCCTGATCTACCATTTTTTGTATCATAAGTTGCCCCCATCTGTTGCTGCCTGTGCAAAACTCTAGCTACACATTGAAGCATGAGCACCTCATCCAAAGGATTTGCAAAGTAGTGCAAATTGCATGCTTAGTGTTCAGTTGAATTTATTGGGAATAATTGTGGGAAGGCTTGGGATTCAGTAACCATTTTGTACTTGCATCACATTCAATTTAGATTCAATCTATTAACAACCAAGAATCCCCACTGATAAGGCAAGGCAGGGTCTCAGCCATAGAACCGCTGCCACTCAGAATGGAGAAAAATGGGCAGTTTTCAGTATGATATGAGGGTCACTTGTGCCCCATTAGCGGCAAGCCAATCTTAATGTGATTAGATCTGGTTGGTTGGTTGGTGTGTGTGCTGTCAAGTCGGAACCAACTTGTAGCGACCCTGATATGACTTTCAAGGTAAGTGAGATATTTAAGGAGTTGCTTTACCAGTTCCAGTACCCCAGTGACAGTGAGTTTCTGACTGATGCTTTGAACCCTGGTCTCCAGAGTCCTAGTTCATCGCTTTATCCACTACATCACATTGGGAATCTTGTTATGTGCTTTATCCACTACACCATACTGGGAATCTTTTAAATAGTAAATTATGTTTTGTCTTCTGCACATGTAGCTTCTCATTCCTAAGTGCTACTGGTCACTTACTCTAACACTCTGTCTTCTACTAAATATTTGACCTCTTATTTGGTCCACTCTCCTTGGCATTATATCTTTCTTGGCTGCTAATCTCCAGTCTTCCTTGGAGGCAAGCAGGCTGATTGGCTAGCTTTAGAAAGTTAGTTTAGTCAACTGGTCACCTAGTCTACTACTATGATGCCAGGTAATTATGAGGTAGCAGTTATCTTGCTGGTGTTTGAGAAAAATCTCTTAAGCATACATTGTTTCCTCAAAATGTTTCCTGGTTTGAGGATGAGGCATAACAAATTTAACATTTGTGGTTGTTCTCTATTATTCAACATGCCTTGGAATAATATGTACCAAATTTAAAGTTTTTAGATTACAGTATATGAATCTACAGGTACTAATTATCACTTCATGCCATGCAAGAACACTGCACTATGAGGACTAGACTAAGATAGATATAGGAATTAGTAGATGCTTATGTGTTAGTATCTTCTATGAACTTAATTGCAATGCTTGTATAAAACTTAAAAAAATGCATGCCCTCAAGGCTAAGCAGCAACATGAATGTGCATATCTGAAATTTCATATATCATGACTCTGGCGATAGAGATGGGAGATGTTATTTGTAGGGACTACAGTTTCCAGAATATTCCATCCAGCATGGCCATTGGCCATGCTAGCTGGTGTATTATGGGAGTTTTTTTTAAAATCAATTTTCTCCATCTCTGGTTGTACTGACGTTTTCTGCCTGAAATACAGAACATAAGTAAGCACTGGCTTGATCTTACAGGCAGTTCTAGAAAAAGACCATGGAAGGGAAGCAAAAAGTATCAATAGGGGGACTAGTCCCGATCGCCAGAGCCACCACCAGCAGTTTTGGCCTTGGGAATATCTCCGCTCTGGGTTAAACACATGAAAATGGCATATGAGGAGAGAAGGCAGAGGAATCGGAAGGTATGGTCATGTCTGAATACAGAGTGGCCATATTGGTTCCATACTCAGCCTGAGTATTTTGTTTCCTTTGCCTGCTGAGGAGGTGATGTATGAGCTTGGAGCAGATGGGTTCATGCTCTTTCCAGCATACTCTTCCAACTATTACTTTAGTTTTAGCCTAGTTCAGCCTGCTACTTCAGCCTCGGGTACCCTGGTCTGGTTACAGCTGTAAACTCTGCTGGAGACAAACCCATGTCCAGTTCCACTTGGGGCCATCTCCGTGGGCATAAATCTGCCCAAACAGGATATTCTAGGGGTGGGATAGAGACATAGTGGAGCTACTAATCCAAAGCCTCTCCATTTCCCCTGTGAGGCTTGTAGATTGCAACAACCTGTCAATTCAACCTGCCAGCTATGACAGTCAAGAGTCTGGTACAGTTCATTTTTTGCCTCTTGGTTTTCAGGTAAGGGTGGCAGGCAGTCCATAGCAAAGGTCAAATGGGGCATCTTTCAAGAATGCCATGGAACACATCTGGCAGGAGGAGATATTGGGGACCTTTACCAGCTGAGATCTGGCAAGACTGGCTCATTGGGTCAGGCCTGTACCTTTGGTGGATTGGCTTGCTGAAAGAAACCGTTTTGGTGGGAGCGTCTGGAGGGAGAAGAAATAGGAACATCAGAGGCAGATAAAGGGAGAAGCCAACAGGGACAGGAGAAGGAAGAAGGTGCCAAGGAGGAGTGACAACTGGAGCCTGCAGAGGACCCTTTTGTCCCAGTTGTGCCCTCTTACTTCTGTTGCCTGCCGCACTCCCCGTATCCAGCCCCAGTCCTAGGGACTAAGGCTTGGAATTACCAGCTTCACTAGGAATGTGGCTTTTTCGACCAGCCTGCAACCAAGGAACCACACTGGTCA